GTCTATAAGTGACAAATTTAAATTAATTAAAGACAGTGAAACTTTGCCGAGACCTACTTTAAAAATCTTTATCTGACAAATATGGTATAGGCAATATTTACAATTGGGGCATTATTATAAACAAACAAAGTAAACTACATGTATGTTCATTAAATCATTATCCATTACAAAAATGTAAACATATGCGGGTGTAATCGAACTTTATCGTTATGAGGTAACTGCTGTTCGTTTAAATCCAAATTTTTTTTTGTATTTACATGCAATAATGGGACAAAAACAATTAAAACATATAATGTATAGTATTTTTATCATTTCTTTATTAAGCAATAAACTTTCTCATAATCATGAAAATGCAAATATACGTTCAACATCCTTGTAAGTAATTGCTCCTGAAGGGGACATTGACAATACCGGACCGCTGAGAAAACCGGACGAAACCCTCGGTCCGAAAGCCGTCCGGTTTTCTCAACTTTCACTGTATATCATTTCTTCCAATGATGGACATGAGTCCAACTGATCCATCCTGTATTCTGTCAACCATGCACTATGTGTGTGATTTATCCAGAAAATTCGATGTGACACCAGTTTTAACTTTTGATCAGCCTTTGTTCATGTAAGCAACAATTATATCAACAATCTTCAAGATTCGGATAGTTATTTGAAGAAAAAAGTTGTGCGGTTAGGTGCCTTTCACACGGAAATGAGTTTTTTGGGCACAATTGGACATGTCATGGGTGGTTCCGGATTGAACGATCTCCTAGAAACAGTGTACTCACCAAATGCTGTTGTTCATATGCTGACAGGGAAAGCAGTTGCAAGAGCAGTAAGGGGACATTTTTTGGTAGACACAGCTCTCCAAACAATATTGTTGGAAAAAACAATTGAAGTTGATATTGTATCCAAACTTGTAACAGAAAATGCACTGGAAATAAGCTCTGAAAATGAAGGAATTATTGAAGATAATGATATACTTCAGAACTTACAGTCAATGTATAATAGTTTGAAAGATGGCATTTTAAACAAAGATGATGACTTTTTGTCTGCAATGACACAAATCTTAATTTACTCTTTGACAATATTTCAAAAGTAAAAGACAACTTGAAGCAATATAGAACACCCGCATTATGGATCCAGTATATGAAAATGATTTCAATTCTGCAGCTGAGAGAACTGGAAGTTGGACTGGACATCTTGCAGCGCTTAGGAAAATGCTTCCTTACTTTGCAGCTTCTGGACATTCATTGTAATTGAAATCTGTCTACATATATTTGCAGAACATGCTTGCTTTAGAAAAAACACACCCTGATGTGTACAGGCAATTTCTGGACGGAAATCATGTTGTAAGATGAAGTGACAGATATTGGGCTGGAATTTCAACAGACCTTGCAATAGAACAGGTACTCATGAGGTCTCTGAAAACATCAGGAGGATTGACAAGAGGCAGAGGAATGACAGAAGGACAACGAGCACTTTGGTTACTTTCAATGCCAGCAACTACTGAAATGAATGTTGTTATGCAGCAATATACCGGGAAGAATTACACAACAAGTGAACAGCATAAGGATGAGGGTAAATCAAGAATAGTTAGGGATGATAAAGATGTAAAATGTTTTTTATCTTTTTTGACTGACCACAGTCCATTCGAAGCCCAATCTGAATATTTACAGAACATTTTTACTGGTGTAACTGCAGATGAAAAAGTAAACGCTGATATGGCGGAAAAGATTGGAGTTGCTTTGGTAGACGAAATGGCTGGACAGGCTTTACATGAATATAAGTACAGAAAATCAAAACAAATTGTCACACTGAATGAAAAAAACTCGGTGAAGGTAACCGGAGATTCTATTGAAATAGACCCACAATTGCTCTTCCAGCGGCTTACTACTGTAGCCAGTCGACATGTTGACAACGTTGAAGATATATTTAAGTTTGAGTTGTGTGGAGTTCCATCTTCTTTGTTTGATGGGTCAGGATTATTGAGAGAAGCTCAGAAGTCCTCATTAGCTGATGCTATTTGGAAAACAGGTACCTGTGGGATTAAAGATGAGCTAGATTCCTGTCAAGATTTGGTACACGTGATTGATGGAGGATCACTTCTACAAACAGTGACCTGGAAAAAAGACGTTTCGTTTGAAACAATATTTGAACAGTATTTCGACTACATTCAGTCTCGGTATAATTCATCTGTAGTTGTATTCGACGGTTATGACTGTGGACCAACAACTAAAGACGTTTCTCATATCCGTAGAACAAAAGGAATAATTGGCCCAAAGATATTATTTTCTCTATCTACGTCTTTTAGAGGGAAAAAGGAAACATTCTTGAAAAATCCAGAAAACAAACAAACTTTCATATCACTTCTTGCACAATATCTGTCAAGTAAAGGCTTAAGATGTCTCCAATGTACAGCTGATGCCGATTTTACAATTGTGAAAACTGCTTTGCAGTTGGCAGTAAATCAGCCAACTATGGTTGTTGGCGAAGATACAGATCTTCTAGTTTTACTTCTGTACCATGTGACAGGCACGATGAAAACCGTGGCTATGAAAAGTGGGAAAATGCAGAAAAGTAACAAAGTATGGCATATTCAAAAAGCAAAAACGGTTTTAGGTTCCGACATTTGTAATTTGCTTCCACTTATTCATGCCATGACTGGCTGTGATACAACTTCAAGAGTGTATGGTATTGGAAAGCCTTCTGCACTGAAACTTTTCACTTGTAGTAAGACCCTTAGACTAGAAGCTGAGAGATTTATGAAAGCAAATTCAAGGTCATCTGTTCTTCAGTCTGGCGAGATTGTTTTATCCCTTCTGTTTGATGGAAAAAAAGAACCCACACTTGACAAGCTTAGGTTTCAGAAGTTTTCGAATAAAGTTGCAAACTCAACATCTGTTGTCCAAGTCAGTTCTTTGCCACCAACATCTGCTGCAGCCGCAAACCATAGTTTGAGAGTTTATCTTCAAACACAGATGTGGATAGGAAATGACGGACTCAATCCTTTAGAATGGGGCTGGGAGTTAGTAAATGACATGTTCCTTCCTGTGAAAACCAGTTTACCACCAGCGCCTGATTTCCTTCTCATGGTTATTCGATGTAACTGTAAAGGTCAGTGTGACTCTAAGCACTGTTTGTGCCGAAAGCATGGGCTCGAATGTTCAGCAGGCTGTGGAGAATGCAGGGGTATTTCATGCTCAAACTCTTTAACAATGTCAACCCTTGATTTTGAAGACTTTTAACAATACAGAAATTATAAATGCATGTTGTTTATTGAAAATGATAGTATAAGCATAATACCATGAAAGATAAATGTTGTTATGTTGTGAATACATGTGTAGGCAATTTATGAATTATTCATGCCAATGTTTGTGAATTGATTTGTTTTAATATAAAAGAAAGTTGAATTATATTTTATATGTTGAAAATATTATGCAGAATGCAACACACATTATATTATTACTGAGAATCAGTGCACTTAATTTAATTTCTTTGTTTGCTTTTTGATGGTTATACTCTACAATTTATCGTTTTTTGAATCCGAAAAAATTTTGATTTTAAATTTTGATACAATAAATTTCAACTTAAAATTATTGGAAATTATCCAATCACATCAAATTTTTGAATTTTTCATGTCATATTTGCTTTTATTGGTATATCATAATAGGTTAGAGAATTATCATGTGTTGAATGTATTAATTACTATGAATATGTGCAACAAATGGCATTTCTTTTTTACACCAAACCTTTAATTTTACATACTTAATAACAGATTGTATATGTTTCTTGAATTTAAAAAATTGGATTTTTTCTTCTTTTTTACAAAAGTGGGTGGGGTAATTTTTTTTCAATAGTTTCTATAAATCAAAGGAAACAAATTCTGCAAGCATAAAAAGGAATTATAATGACCATAATGTCTATCAAAAATAGTGTAGTTATATTTGAAATTGTATTTTTATAATTTTTTTCATGCCAATATTTCTAAACTGTTTTGTTTTAATTTGATAGTAGGTTTAGGAATTCATTGTGTTGAAAATAATACATATAGTCTGCACAAAGTTCCTGTTGTTATTTAAAAGAAGTGCAACTAATGGCACTGCTTCTTGATGTTTTTTTTTGTATTAAAAATTTGTTGGATATTAAACCATTCATTTTACATGGTCAATACTACTATTTTTCATAAACTTTTAAAAAGTAAAAAAAAAAATACCTTTTTACAAAAGTGGGTGGGGTACTTAACTCATATATATTTTTTCTTTAAATGGAAGAAAATAAAGAAAATTAAACTGGCTTAAAATAAATCATAATGAACAGAATATCTATGAAAATATATTTTTTGTATAAAATAATCAAATCCAAAAGCATTGCTTTCATATCAATTAGATATACTGTTCTTGATTGTTAAAAATAACAATGAATTACGCTTTTAACAGTGTCCTTACTTGACCCACTTTTTTACCAATTTTGCCAAGATTATATGATTGCAACTTTTTACTGATGATTAACAACATATTAATGTAAATAAAAAATGTGAAAACAAAACTTTTGCAATTTGTTCTAGGTTGACCCATTTTTTTGGCTTCACTGACTGGACTACTTGTGAATTTTTACAAGAAGATATTTTAAGATTTCCCATATAACTTTACATAAAACTGATGAGCGCCCTGGCGGTGCCCCTTTTGACCCTAGGGGCTTAATTTGAACATTCTTTGTAGAGGATCACTAGATTATGTTACATAACAAATATAAAGGCTCTTCACCTAGTGATTCTTTTAAAAAAATCTTTTGGTTGCCATGGCAAACCAGAGTTCTTCAAAGAATTAATTTGTTTGAACATTAATTTTGGTATTGCTTCCCTGCAAAATTTCAACAAATTTGGCCAAGTGGTTAAGGAGGAGAAGTTGTTTAAAGAAATTGTTGAGACACAGACGATGGACCATGGGCCATCACAAAAGCACACCTGGAGGACACTGTCCTCAGGTGAGCTAACAAGAACTAAAAGTTACCAAGTTTCAATAATATGGTTCCTTATTTTAAGGTAGCGTTGTGGATTTTTTGTTGCTCGCCTCTTATTGAAGAAATCTGAGTTGACTTTTTTCTCTTCCTCTGATACAATTTTGTAGCTGAAAAATGTCTCAGCTGATGGCTTAGGGAACATAACAATCTCTCCTGTGGCTGTGAGAACTTCTTGATCTATAATATACATACATTTATACATACATTGTTTGAACAAGTGTTCCACTGAGGCAAGGGAATATCTACCTGATGGAAAATTTACAAAAAGGTATAAAGAACAAAAATGTCTCTCAAAGATAGATGGCAAATTTCTGGTAGTAAATGGCACTGATGAAGATCCATCAAATGCAAAACAAGAATATACGATGGGTGTCCCAGAATTACGTGGACTTTTGCTATAACTTTTTTATTTTTTAATGCATTAATTAGCAAATTTGTACACAAACCTTTAACATATCCTTAATGAATATGTCCATTATTTTTAAATTTCTAACATTGCTTCTCTATATTTTCATCACTATAGTAATGCAGTATGCGCAGGGCGGGGCAGTCCAATATTTTGTATTAATAAGTTGTCTTTACTTTCGTATATCTTGCGTATTTATACGTAAAAAATGGCGCGACGTCGTAAGCATATGCAGTGACGTCATATGAATGTTTGCTTGAAATTTTGACGTCATAGCTGTTTCCGTTATTGTTTACCAGCGGACAACTGACAACCGTTGTTCTTGGATATTTAACAAAAAATGACGTCCACGGATTATGCGGAACATCGGACTATCATCAAGTGTTGTGCTAATCTTGGGAAGACGCCAACACAGACGCAGGAAATGTTGGAGACTGCAAAAGTGAGACCTCCTGTTTGTCGATCACCCGTTTTCAAGTGGCATAAGCGTTTTCGAGACTGCCGGGAGGACATTGAAGACGACAAGGGTCATGGGAGAAAGTCAACGTTGACTGCGGCGTCAATTAAGGAAGTCAAGGACGTCATAGATCGGGACAGGCGTTACATTCAAGGGTAAGCAATAATTTTGTGTTTAAAAAAATGATTTTTAAAAATTAAGCTAATCACAATTTATTATTTTAAACGCAATTTATCCGCTTCAGCTTTTAAGAAAGTGAACTCAAACTGCTATAGTAAGCAGTGCGCATGATAGGTTATTTCCCTTGTTAACGCACATTGTCTTTGCGTACAAAATTAACTCCACAATAATAATAATAATAATAATAAAAAGAATAATAATAATAATAATAATAATAAAAATAATAATGATAAATACCGTAATAATAATAATAAAACAAAAGTTACTAGTATGCTTTATTATTATTATTATTATTACTATTATTATTATTATTACGACCAGTGGATATATCGACACCATCGGTGTATTGAGTTAGGCAGCGACTATGTTGAGAAAAACTGACATTCGACGCAACGCATTTATTAACAACTAGCGATGCCACCGGAATGACGTCGTAACGTCGGAATGGACTGCCCTGCACCCGCTACCCCTTGTCTCATTACCCTGCCCACAGACACTGATCCAGTTGTCAGACAACTTTGAAATTTTTTGTACTAATGCAATAAAGTTGCATTTTGTTCATGTTAATTTTGTTTGTTTTTATTTTCAGTAGTTTTTGAGTTACAGCAAAAGTCCACGTAATTCTGGGACACCCCTTGTACAGCAATGTTACAAAATAAAATAATAGTAACAAGGGGGCCAATGGCCCCAAAGCACCCACCTGAGGACAGACTGTTATTTGAGTGAAAGCATGGAAAGGTAGTGCTTATTACAAGAATTTGAACAATGTTGGTCACTAGGCCATTCTTCATGCAAAATGTATTTTTTAATTATACTATATACATGGTCCTAACTTCAAAAAACAAGTCCGAAGACAGATTAAGTCACTAGGTCAATATTTAGGTCATTTGATATCAATTTTTAGTTTTACACCTGACACATGGTCAAAAACTTATAGTTGTATATAAACAAGAGGGCAATGATGGCCCTGAAATCGCTCACCTGAATATAAACTCTCCTTGACAAGGGACAAGTAATATTGTAAACTATAAACAGGAGGGTCCTGGATCACTCACCTGAGAAATAGGTCAAAAGGTAAAAGAGGAGCCCCTTTTCACCCCAGAAGCACAATTTGAAAACAAAGGACATATTAATCTGAACAATTGGTAGTACACTGTCACCAAGGAAACTTTTGTGTAAAACTATTTCAAAATTGAACCAGTGGTTAATTTAAGCTCTGGTTGCCATTTTGTAAAACAGTTCAGCCTGTCACTAAGTTAGAGGTGAGCTATTAAAAAGATGACAGAAAAAGACAAGGACAACAAACATTTGACCTGGCTGGGGATTGAACTGACAATTTTAACCCTAGGGATTTTAATTCAACTAACAAGCTCTAGCTCTTTTGGATTTTCACAAGAAGATATTTTTTAGTTTTTACTGTATACATATAAGGAAAATCAATGACCCCTGATGCAGGGCCAATTTCAACCAGAGGCCATTTATTTGAACAAACTTGGTGCACAGCCACTAAAGATGTTGCCAAACATCTAAGCTCAACCTTTTTTGGATTTACACAAGAAGATTTTTTTTTAGTTTTTACTGTATACATATCACTCATTCTCACTTAAGTGTGTCAAATTGGAGCTTCTTTTCACCCCAGAAGCACAATCTGTAAACAAGGGAAAGCTTAATCTGAACCCTTAATGTTTGTACACTGTCATCAAGAAAAATTTTGTGTAAAATTATTTTAAAATTGAACCAGTGGCTGAGATGTTGTTTAGATGTTGATTTCAATTTTAGCTCTGGCAGCCATTTTATTAAACAGCTTAGCCTGTCACAGTGAGAGGTGAGCTAATAAAAATATGACAGAAAAAGAGAAGGAAAACAAACATTGACCTGGCTAGGGATTGAACTGTCAACCTCAATCCCCTGGGGTGGAGCCAATATTGACCCTAGGGGTTTTATTTCAACAAACATGGTAGACATACACTAGAACATGTTTCATGCCAACTATCTAAGCTTCTACCTCTTTTGGATTTTCACATGAAGATTTTTTTAAGTTTTTACTATATACATAAAACGAAAATCAATGACCCCTGGGCCTGGGCCAATTTTGACCCTAGGGCTTTTATTTTAACAAAGTTGGCAGACATCTACTAAAAGATGTTTTAAGCCAAATATCTAACCTAGCTTTTTTGGATTTTCACAAGAAGATTTTTAATTTTTTACTCTATTCATGTATATATAAGGAAAATCAATGACCCCCTTGGGTGGGGAGAATTTTGACCCTAGGGCTTTTATTTCAACAAACTTGGTAGACATCCACTAGAAGATGTTTCATCTGTAGCTCTCTTGGAATTTCCCAGGAAGATTTTTTGTTTGTTTTTAGTTTATACATATTATATAAGGAAAATCAATGACCCCTAGGGGCCAGGCCAATTTAAACCCTAGGGCATTTATTTGAACAAACTTGGTAGACATCCACTAGAATATGTTTCATGCAAAATATCTACATGTAATCTATAGTGCTTTTGGATTGTCACAAGATTGTCACAAGAAGATTTTTTAAGTTTTTTTACTATATACATATAAGGAAAATAAATGACCCCCTGGGGTGGGCACCTGAACAAACTAGGTAGACATCCACTAGAAAATGTTTCAAGCCAAATATCTAAGCTCTAACTCTTTCATTTTTTTACAAAAACCATTTTTTAATATTTTTGTAAAATAATCTTTTGGTTGCCATGGCAAACAGAGTTTTTTAAGGAATCTAATTTTTTGAACAACTTTGGTAGAGCTTCATGCAAAGGAATATCCCTGCAAAGTTTCAACAGATTTTGCTAAGTGGTTTAGGAGGAGAAGATGTTTAAAGAAATTGTTGACGCACGGAGGGATGGACAATGGGCCATCACAAAAGCTCACCTTGAGGATATTGTCCCAAGGTGAGCTTAAGTTTTTACTATATTCATGTAAGAACAAAATTGCATTTGTGAAACAAGGGGGCCATTGGCCCCAAAGTACTCACCTGAAGACACACTGTTATTTGTTTAAGGGTCAGTTTTAACAATAGGGGCAAACTTTGAACAACTATGGAAAAGGACCTATAGATGACATTAAATACCAAATATCTCTAAGCATTGTAACTTCAGACAAGAAATTTTTTAATTTTTTACTATAAACAAAGAATCTATGACCCTGGTGCAGGGCAAATTTTGACCTCAGGGCTATAATTCAAACTATCTTGCTTACCTCTAACCTTTTATCATTTCAGAGATTTTTTAAGTTTTTCCTATATACATAATTATAAGGTATAATAATATATAATAAATGTATAATAAAAGGGGCATAACTCTGCCAAAAATCATCAAACCATGAACAAATTCAAACTTGACCTGTTTTTTCTCATGACATATCCATATATCAAATTTGAGTTGAATGTGTGCAACCGTTACTAAGATAATGAACGGAAACTGATGTATCATGATGACGGAATGACAGAATGACGGAACAGGGAAACACTGTACAAATAGTTTTTTAAGTTTGCATTTTTAAACTCCTTTTCTGGCCCTGTGACCTACTTATGCAACAGACCAGAACATTTGAATAACTTTGGCAGTGTACCACCCAATGATCATTCCTGCAAAGAATTATTAAATTAAACAAGAGCCATGTCAACATGGCCATCCCCCGCCGAATGTGTTTGCTCATTGGAAGAATGTATATGTAGTAGAGCGGAATAGTTCCATTTTAAGAGGTCTTTTGGTAATGAAAACTGATGGCTATAATGATTACAGATTTGAAACCTATGTGAGTACTGATGGCTGAAAATAACAAAGGGCAATTACTGAAAAATAATGCAGGGTAGGTTATCATTCTTGTGTGCTGCATCCCTCCTCAGTAAAATCTATCCACCTATGAAGTTTCAAGTTGATACCTCAAATACTTTTTGAGAAAAAAATTGAATTGAAAAATTAAGTATGAAAAAGAACAAAGGGCAATAACTCAAAAATTATAAAAGGTAGAGTTATCATTCTTGTGCACTGCACACCTCCTGAGTGAGATCTATGCACCTATGAAGTTTCATTTTGATATCTCAAAGGCTTTTTTGAGTTATGCTCTGGACAAAAATTAATTTTGAAAAATAACAAAGGGCAATAACTCAAAAATAATGCAGGGTAGAGTTATCATTCTTAAGCACTGCACTCCTCCTCAATGAGATCCATCCACCTTTGAAGTTTCAAGTTGATACCTCAAATACTTTTTGAGATAAGCTCTGGACAAAATAACATAAAAAAAACAAAGGGCAATAACTCAAAAATTGTATAGGGAAGAGTTATCATTCCTGCACACAACACTCCTCCTCAATAAGATCTATCCACCTATGACATTTCATGTTGATATCTCAAACACTTTTCGAGTTATGCTCCACTCAGGTGAAAAATTAGGTATGAAAAATAACAAAGGGCAATAACTCAAAAATTATGAAAGGTAGAGTTATCATTCTTGTGCACTGCACACCTCCTGAGTGAGATCTATGCACCTATGAAGTTTCATGTTAATATCTCATAAGCTTTTGGAGTTATGCTCTGGACAAAAATCAATTTTGAAAAATAACAAAGGGCAATAACTCAAAAATCATGCAAGGTAGAGTTATCATTCTTGTGCACTGCACTCCTCCTCAATGAGGTCTATCCACCTATGAAGTTTCAAGTTGATACCTCAAATACTTTTAGAGATATGCTCCGGACAAAAATGTCGGACGGAAGGACGGACGGACGGACGGAAGGTCGGACGGACGGAGACTATTTCTATATCCTCCGCCGAAATTTTTCGGCGGGGGATAATTAAATTACTGTGCAGTTATCGGTTTCTTAGGAGATGTTGTTTAAAGAAATTGTTGACGATGCACGAGGATCACAATAGCTCACCATGAGCACGTTGTGTTCAGGTGAGCTAAAAATGCATCATTTCAAGGATTTTAATTGACAATCCTGAGGTATACTTTATACCAGTAAAGACATAATGGTAATGTTTCTTTTATTACCTTTTAATTCAGTGACACTAGGGAATTTGTCTGTCATAGATTTATCTTGGCTAGAGTTCACATCTTTAAAATATTCCATTTTATCTTCTTCGTTTACCAGATTATCCACAGATAGTATATGAGGTTCTATATCCATCTCGTCTGCTGGTCTTTTTCTAGAACCTAAAAGAAAATTTTATACACAATCTATATGCTAACATTTCTGAAAATATCTTTTATCACTAGCCCTTTGAAAAGAGTTTTATTATTATTTTTTTTTTTTATTTCAATCATTTTTACCATTTGAAGTATTTTTTGTGAAACATAAAATCTTTTAATTATCGATATTGACAGGGGCTTTTTATTATTACGTCTGTTACCTGGCTTATAGTCTCCCTTTTAAAATCAGTGACTTGTTTTGATTTGCTTGACTGATTTTTTGTATTCATCCGCGGTTATTATAAATAAGTCGCTCAACTAGTTTTTGGTACAGTTTGTATGACACGTTTTTCATGGAATGTTAAATTTTGGCGGTCTTTACTGTGGCCATTTTGAAAAGAATATAATATTTTTGTGGTTACTTTGCTTCTCTAGGATACAGTTTTAAATGGACTAATTTACGTTCTTCAGAGGAGTTTCCCAGTGGGGAAAAACTTTTATTTTGAACTTTTATTTTGAATTTGTTTGTCTTTTGACTTTGAATACAGAGTTTTGTGTAACATAATTTTCTGTTTTGAATGAGGAGTTCTAGGGCTAGAAAAGCTATAGACTATAGAAAAATGGCTTCGGGTTTTAGTCCCGTCAGTGTTCCTACAACTAGTCACAGTTCGACAAGTTTGACGGAAGATTCGAGTTCTAAGGTGTCTACGAAAATTTCTGGCACTAAAGGTCCGGTAGTTACAGTTCCGGATAAAATTAGTACGACAAATGCCATTAAGTCGCATGGGAAACATATTCCTGGGAAAGAGGGCTCCGTGTCAGTTCCAGTTAAATCGAGTTTACCCGTCGGAGTCTCCGATAAATTAGACGAGCTTAAACATACGGTCTCACCGGCTAAGCTTCTCAGTGATACAGATAAAAGAAAACAACTGTTGGCTCGCCTTGCAGAATTGGACGAGAAACAGAAGGTATTGCAAGAACGGAAAGAGTTGGAGATACTTCGTAAATAGGTGGAGGAAAGAGAAGCCGTGGTGGATGAGCTGGAAAAGTCACTGTCGGGCCCGTCACTGTCAATGCCTAAGAGAGGGAAGGAAGGTTCGAAGAAGCCTCGTGTAGCTGCTGGGTTTCAGGTGCCTTTGCCTTCTTCTACTCCAGCTGGAGATTCAGGTATGGATTTGTTAACTATTAAACATTTGAGAGAAATGACTGGTTTGAGGAGAAGGACAAGGAAGGAAATGGCAAAACTTGGGGTTGTCAGCTCAGAGTCTTCAACTGATAATAGTGCTTCTACTACGGATAATGAGTCAACTGTTTCTGACTCTGATGATGGTGGTTCTGGGCTTCACAGTAGTAGTGTTAAGAAGCATAATAGACATAGTAATAAACATACAAAATCTGGTATAACTTCAAAATGTTCTGATTCTGTTAAAAATAGGCAAAAATATCCGCATTCTACCTTAAGGTTTGATTTTGTCAATAGAAATATTACTTTTGAGAAAAAATAGATTTTAATTTGTTTGTAGCAGGAGAATTAGAAATCATTTCTTCACCTAAGATTAGAGAAAAAGAAGCCAAAGCTAGATTGGATTTGTTAAAAAAGTTGATGTACCTAAATAGCTCATATGATTTTTCTGTTGTTAAGTCACTTTATGCTGCCATTTTGAGAGAGATTGAATTAGGTCACAGTAACTGGGGGGATGATTTCCATTATGTTGAGTCTGCAGTGCTGGCTAGACACAAAGTTAAGAATTTTAGAAATGTAGATTTTGTGCAATTACGTCCCAAACCATCGTTTGATCTTCCTCAGGAAAAATTCAAGTACTGTTGGAGGTGAAGATTACAAAATTTGGTTTTGTAATAGATATCAAAGGAATAAATGTCCGCAAAAAATCATCACATGTTATTGCTTTGAAAGGGGAAAAACCCGGTTTGCAAAGCATATTTGTGCTACATGTTTGGCAAACAGATAGAAAAGAGTTGCCACACCCAGAATGTTCCACTGCCTGCCCTCATGCCAGTGTATGACTTACTAATGGCTTGTGGGCTATGGCCTCAACTAATAATACATCAGATAATACTTCTTTAGATGGTTTGGCTTGATATTTTCTTGCCTAGTTTTTGTAAATATCAACACATAGGTTTCGTCTCCTAAAGTTATTGAAGACTCTAATTTTTTGAAAATTCAGTTGTAAAGTGTGTTTGTAATCATAAAAAAAGTTGTAAGGTTTTGTTTAAGCTTGAAAGAAACATTATCTCTTTCATCTCAGGAAAAAATTGAGATAAGTCGGGAGGTTAAATCTTCAGGCCTTTATAATTTTGAAGGCTGCAGGATTCCTGTTAATAATAGGATAGATACAGATTTTATTAAGCAAATGCTGCATGGTTACAATGATATGTTGGTGTGTGATTTATTAAAATATGGTTTTCCAATTGATGTAACATTAGAGGATAAAAAAATTCTATTTGATAAACCACCTTGTAAGAGGAATTTAGCTGGTGCAACCGCTTTTTCCGGGGATCATATGTTGAAATATTTACAGAAAGAAGCTTCTTGTGATGCTATAAATTGGTCCTTTTTAGTTCTTGTCCTTTTCTAGATGGTATGGTCATTTTTCCTTTAAACACAGTCCCCAAGTCCAATCCTAATGAGAGACGTATTTATTTTTAGATTTGATTTTCCCAAGGATGGTAACAGGAGTTAATGATTTTGTTTCGAAGGATGAATATCTTTTTGGTTCTGATGTTGAACTGATTTATCCTAAAATAGATGACTTTGTGTCTCTTATTAAAGCCAAAGGTCAAGGTTGTTTAATGTTTAAGTTAGATCTGCGTCGAGCGTATAGGCAAATAAGCATTTGTCCATCCAGTTTATAATTTAGTGGGTTTCAAAATGGAAAAAACATATTTTCTTTTGACACTGTATTATCTATGGGGTTAAGATCTTCAGCACATATTTGTCAAAGAGTGACAAATGCTTTTGCTTTTATGATGTTCAAATTTGGTTTTTGTATATGTAATTATCTAGATGATTTTTGTGGTGTGGAAAAAAATGATGTGGCTCATTTTGCTTTTATGTTACTTAGAGAGATTTTTTGTTAGGAGTGGCATTGAGGAAGCTCTTGATAAAGCTTTGTCCTCCTTCTGACATTATGGTCTTTTTAGGTGTTTTATTTAATAGCAGTACTATGACCATGGAGGTTACTCAAGAAGACTTGCAGAGATTAAGTCTTTGGTTTTCTTCTTGGTTAGGGAAAGAGTCGGTTACTTTAAAAGAGATACAAAGTTTGTTGGGTAAACTTAACTTTGTGGGTGCTTGTGTTAGGTCAAGTAGAATATTTGTTAACAGGATTTTGAATTGGTTTAGAGAATGTCATGCTTGTTCTTCAAATAAATTTTTTAGTGACTAATGACGTTAAAAAAGATTTGTTGTGGTGGCATAAATTTTTATCTATATTTCAGGGCAAATCTCTGATTGATTATGGGAGAATGGTCGCTAGTAGATTCGGTTTTTAGTTGTGATAGTTGTTTAACAGGATGTGGTGGAATTTGTGGTAATAGTTTTTTCCACAGTGTTTTTCCTGGTTTTTATTTTAAATCAGAATTTGAGCATTACATGTTTGGAGATGTTAACTGTCATTGTTTTCTCTTAAATTATGGTGTGCTGTTTTGAGAAAGAAAAAAGTGGTTATTTATTGTGATAATCAAGCAGTTTGTATTGTTATCAATACGGGCAAAACTCGGAGTTTATTTTTACAAAAGTGCTTACGGGAGCTATGTTTTATTACCTCAGTTAATGAGATTCAAATCAAAGCAATTCATCTCAGTTCAGATGAGAATCGTATTGCAGATTGTTTGTCCAGATGGGATTCGGATCCTATGTATATTAATGCATTTTATGAACAAGTTTCTCATGTTTCTTTGTTGGAGAATGTTGCTGTTCCTGAAGATATTTTTAGATTTCTTCATGATTGGTAATTGTAATTTGTTTCAGAGAAACAGTTTGTGATTCTTAAACAGGATCTCAGGAAGTCAAAATAGATCAGCTTTTGCTGATGGTACCAACAAGAATTTGCATATACAGTGGGAAAGTTTCATCTTATTTTGTTTATATTTTGGACTTTGTTATTTACCTGCTTCTACATCAACTTTACAATTATATGCTCAATTTCTTAGTAGATCTTTTAAATCAGTGCAAAGTATTAAGAATTATATTAGTGGAGTGAAGACATTGCATATGTGTTTAGGTTATAACATTGATCTTATTAATACTTATTTACTAAATTTATCCTTAAAGGTATTGCTAGGTTAAATCCTTGGCTGTTCAACGTGCAGAGCTATTACTTTAGATATTTTATTGGGGATTTTTGTAAGTTGGATTTTTCTATTAAAGACAATGTTGTTTATTGGTGTTTATTTTCTTTTTGCATTTTTTCTTTGTGCAAGAAAATCGAATTTGGTTCCCACTTCTTTGGACATGATATTGATAAAGGAAAATTTTTGAACTCTAATTGTATTCGCCATTGTGGTAATTATGTTTTAAATACATTTTAATTGGTCAAAAACTATACAATTTTGGAGAAAGAGAGGTTATATGTCCCTTAGTTAGATTAAAAGATAGGAGGTTATGTCCTGTTACAGCTTATGATTTGCTTTTATCTTTGAAAATTCGTCAACATCGTCATGTGTTATTTACTTTACCAAATGGTTCAGTGGTTACATATTATTTGTTTCAGAAAAAGTTAAGGGAATGTATTCAAATGATAGGTTTAGATTGTGAGAAATTTTCCAGTCATTCTTTTAGACGGGGTTTTGCAACTCTTGCACATAGGTCAAATATCCCCCATGAGCTTATTCAATTACTAGGTGATTGGAAATCGGACGCTTATAAGGTTTATTTAGATCTTAATTGGAATGATAAAATTGATATTTTATCTAGGATGTTTGTATTAGAAACAGAATGATTTGGTTATCTGTTTTTCTTGTCATTCCAGGCCTGATGGTTCATATTATTTCTGATTCCATTGCCAAGGACGTTAGCGGC